GGTCTTGTATATAGTAGTTTCTTCCTTCTTTTATTATATATATATATATATATATATATATATATGTGTGTGTGTGTGTGTGTGTGTACGTAAAAGTTTGACGTGAACATTCTACAAGCCTCAGATCACATATCAATAAGTTTAGGGTAATTCTACCAATGCTGTCATGTAAAGCAACCTTTTCCACTCCACATACTGGCAACATCGTTCTTCTTTTCTTTTAACACTGACATTGCTACTTAGGAGTACTGTTTGCAGTACCAGGCTGTGGGTGCTGAAAACCACCCATACCGGAAACCTGCTTTTATGCATTATTTCGACCTATCAGGGTGAGAGAAAGATTCTGTATAATTTTTGCTGTAAATATGTCTTTTATTGCACAGTTGTAAGACATCAAACTCTCAGTAAGTAGTATTAATATAAACTAGTGGTTGGGAATCCTTGAGCTCCTGTCTAACCTGTGAGGTGAATGAAACGATTTAAGATTCCATTGGAAAATCTTCTTGCAATGTTTCATCAGGATATGATTCATGAAATTGCTTAATAAGTTCTTTGTTCTTGTGTGTTAAATTGAGAACTATGAAAGATCTCAATATATTCTTGTACTCTTGAGCAATTCCTCTTCTGGAGACATTTGTAAGATATCCATGCTGCTTAAATTTCGTGGTGAAGGATGTAACAAACTGCCTGATTTCCGTATTAAAAGGTATATCCAAATGTTCGGGGTATTTTATTATTAACTCCTTGCACGTTCTTTCAGGTCCCATTTTATTGCATTTATCTTCATTCCATTTGTTGAATATTTTGACCACGTCTTTTTTCAAATATACTTCTGCCCTTATACCATATTGTGGATGCTTTGCCCAACCTCTTTCAACATTCTCTATGGGTTCGTAGACATTACTTTGCTTGATTTGAGTCTGATGTTCTGCTTGAACCTGAAGCCTAAGATCACATGGTATATGTTGTAATTGACGAGCTTTATCTTCAGGTGAATGAACCATTTGCTGAACTGATTCATAATTTCATTCGTGAGATGACAAAATGGTTTCAATATCTTTGACTTCTAAAGACTCTGGATCAAAGTAACGAATCTCGGTATTGATGAATTATATTCGACCATTTTAATAAGTTCACGTGTATAATACATTGCAAGTGAATCGACATCTCTACTCTTCAATGAGAAGTGGCAAACATGTAAGTTTTAAAGTGTTTTTGTTTTGAAGCATCTGTGACACTGATCACATAATTTTTTGGCATTCCCTTTATTTATTTCAAAGCCTTTGGGACTCATGTTTCTAATGCGTGATTCAATTGATTGTGCTTTCTTTGAGCTTGATGTCTTACGTTCCTCAAGTTTTGAATATAAATGCATCCTTTATGTCATTGTCCTCAGCAAAATAGTTCTTGGGAATCCTCATCATCAAATTCAATTGCATCATCTTCAACATTTTCAATATCATTTACTGATTTATCAGTTGCACATTCAGTAATAGTATCCGTGACAAATTTTGTAAAGTTTTCATCCACTTAAACTGTTTGTATTATAAAACAGTTGTACAGTTTGCAGACAACAGTGGTAACTTGGTGTTTTTTCTTTTTTTAATAGATCATCCAGTGAAAAAATATCTACCCAGGAGAGAAGGAAAAAGAAGTTTTTGGAAGTAGTAAGTTTGCCAATCATCTATATAAACACCATATGACAAGCTCTTCTGTAGATCTTGTGATTAATTTTGCATTTTCATCTTTTCTGTGACCAAGTCAGTAAATTTATGGGCTTGTATTCATAGTTCCAGAATTATTAAGCAATTTATAAAGAAAGTTGGAATTTTGTAAAGTCATATAATGAAAACACTAGAACATAGTAACATACATATAAATATTTTCAACTTCAGCATAAACTTTTGGGGAGGGGGGTATTTTGTATTGAACATTGTTTTCTAATAAACTGCCAGTCAAAAGTGTGGATTTGTGTATTGAGTTAAATATATTAAGTGTCACTAGCATACGTTACTGTTAGGATTGTGTTTTGTGTTATTGAAACATTTTATAATTTACTTTGGTGTAGTTAGTTTTAGGGTTAAGATTTTGTTAACATTTCAGGAGGAGCGTAGAGTGATCTACGTTGGTAATATTCCTGAAGGCACCACTCGCACAGACCTCCGGAATAGGTTCTGTAAGTTTGGTCCAATTGAGGAGGTGAGCGTCCATCTTAGGGACCATGGGTAAGTTGGGTGTATTCTGTCATGAGATGTAGCTTGAACATTTGGTCACCAATTGTATTAGGAAAAGGTATACCTATAATTAATGACCAAACTATGTACATTGATAGTAGAGTTCTGTATTGGATATGTAATATATATTTTGCTAAACAGATTATAATTTTTACTGTAATGTGCTGGTGAAATGTTATGTTGATTGGATGTGACTGTCTTGTGTGTGCTATTGCTTGTAAGAAACTGGTCTGTATTAAAATTTCACATATTTTTTACTTTTTCCTCAACAGAGATAACTATGGCTTTGTTACCTTTCACAATAGAAGTGATGCATTCGAAGCTCTAGAACGTAAGTTTCAGATTAATGGTATAATAATGAATTGTATGAGAAATCTTACATGCCACTTGAAACATGGTTGGAAACAAATTAACAGAATGAAATTTAAGTTTTAGGAAAAATAAACATAAAGCTTGTTAAAAAGTGTTCAGTGTATTAACTTGCCTTGTAAGTTCAAATGTTGTAACAGTATTTAAGGCCAGGAATGATGTCTAAACTAATTTTTAAACAAGATTCTGACTAGAGTTTATGGATATATAATCTATCTTTTAAACAAAGTTCTTACCAGAATTCATCAGATATTTAAACTAGTTTTTAAACAAGATTCTTAAGCAAGATTTTCATACACTTCAAATTTATTCATTGCCAGAAATTTCTGTAATACTATTCTGCTACAATTGTTATTGCCACTCAATGGCTCAGAAGTAATTCTGGGGGGTTATACTGCTAAAAGTGGGGTTTTAATACTCATGGTGAGCACAGCACAGATAGCCCATTGTGTAGCTTTGTGCCTGTTATCAAAACAGTTGGTATTAATTACATTATTTTTAGAATAATTATAACATTAAAGAATGTGTTTTGTATTTTAATCACAAGTGATACTTGTCATAACTATTGTAAAACATTATACATATTTTAAAGCTTTTTTCTTACATGCTGAAAAATGTTTCTTGTAACAATGAACTATAAAAATATAAAAGTATGTCCAGTGAAACCTTCTTAATCTGAACACATTTGTAATAAAGTAATTCTTAATTTGAATAATTGAAGCAGTCACTTTGAGTGCAAGGAATACTATTAATAGCATGCATTACAATGGCTAAATGTATGCAGCTAGTAAGCAAAAAAACAATTGTATGTACAATGAACTTAGCAGTTGATTATTTTATGTTGATTATGCCATTATATTTACATTTAAATAATCATTTTGTTCAAACCAATGACTTGCTCATGGAATACAAAATATATAATACATGCATTACTTTCTTGTATGAACAAATATCATGGTTTAATGATGCTGACCTTTCTAGACATTTTTGTTTTGGAGCACTGTGATTCGACATCACTATAGTATAAGTCGCTCTGATAACCTCTTAATATCTGTTATAGTTTACAAGTACATCCCTATTGTGAAGGTCATTCTCAGAAATGTCGTCGTAAATTGGTATCACTGGAAGTGCAGGTGTTTTGTAGTCAGTAATTATCACTTTGTTTCCTGTTCGGATCAACTCCCTAATTAACTTGTGGAGTCGTATACAAATTAATGAATCATGTATCTATAGAAAATGGATGTTTGTTATAACATGTAGTTGTCAGATTAAATTTGTCATTGTGAAGATTTGTCTACATGAAAAATAATTCAGATTGTTCATGTTTGGCCTAAGGAGGCTTCACTGTAGTTTTTATTCCTAAGGAGTGTTATATTGGTAAATTTAAAGTATTTAATGTCTATACTATATTTGAAGTACATTTGTAAATGTATCTATATTGTTTTTTGTAGATGGCAATGATGATGCTTCATATCCCAAAGTAGACCTGTGTTTTGGAGGTCGTCGTCAATTTTGTAAAAATAGCTATGCTGATTTAGGTGAGTTCTGTAAACAGTCGAAGATTGTGACATCTTTTTTTATATCAAACTTGATAAAATAAATTAGATGGACTTAGTATTTCCACATGTTTAATATATTGTTTTTCTTCAAATAAAAACTTTATTTGACCAAGGTACACAATTGTTTGTGATGTTAAAAACGTATTCACTTTTCCATGATGCTTTGAACTATGAGTACCAAAGCTAATAGTTAAGTATTCAGTGCTTGAAAAGTTGAGTTTCATTTTGGACACTAATTTAAGTGGTCATAATACTTTAGTGTTGTTACTAAAAACAGTATACATTGCTTGGTTTGTAAGAAAGAATCTTTAAAAACACTACTTTCTGTGTAAGTCGTTTTGACCAATTTTTTTCCGGCAAGAGAGAGATAAGGTTAATGATAATTCTGACAAATTCTACAGTCAGTATTAAGAAAACGTAGCTTCCACATAAGGTGTATCTATTAACATAAGCTAAAAACCTTTTACAACTAACAATTAAGTAGGACAAGAAATTTCGTTTTTTCAGCCATTGTTATATTACATACATTTCTAAAATTTACAGAGAATATGAAACTAATTATAAAATTACCTAAATAACAAATTTAGTAAGGTAAACAACAATAGCTATTTTTACTTATAAGTCTGAGGAAGTCTGTCCCACAATCAAATTTTCATGTGAGAAAAGTGAAGTGAAGCTGTTAAAACAAAGCTTTAACTGACTTGTAATCTGACATAAACACCAAAAAATACTGTTGCTAGTTGTATGTTTTATTATGATTGTAAATATCAATTAATGCTGAGCCACATGTTAGGCTTAATAAGCCCCTGTTCTATGTATTAGTTTATTGTAAACATCAGTTAATGCTGAGTAGCATGTTAGGCTTAACAAGCTCAGTTTTATGTATTAATTTATTGTAAACATCAGTTAATGCCGAGCAGCATGTTAGGCTTAACAAGCTCAGTGCTATCTATTAGATTATTTTAAACATCAGTTAATGCTGAGCAGCATGTTAGGCTTGACAAGCTCAGTTCTGTGTTTTAGTTTATTGTAAATATCAGTTAATGCCAAGCAGCATGTTAGGCTTAATAAGTTTAGTTTTATGTATGAGTTAATTTGTATTTGTGATTCCAGAATGTCTTGATTTTAGTACTAATTGTTTTGTGGGAGATTATAATGAAGAATCCTTATTTATCAAACGGGAAATTAAATCAGCTGATTGAATGTTTGTTCCTGAAGAGATAAAACTGTAGTATACACTTCCTGAGTTAGTTTAAGAATCTCAATAGATATCTTAACATAGCTGTTTATTTTATTATAATTTTTGTCTTTATAATTTATTTTTTGTTGTTGACATTGTTTTTTCACATATAACCTTAATGTTGGAAATTTATGAGTTGAAGTATATCATTTATAAAAGAACTTTTCATTCCTTGTCAGATTCTCAAGCACAACACAGTGCTCAAAAGCCATTTAGAAATCGAAATTTAGATTTTGATTCCCTTCTGCAAGCAGCAAAGGCTAATGTTGGATACAAATAACAGAGAAGAAACTAGGACTTAGAAAAGACATGTTTACATGAACAGAATGATTAGTGTCACTCCAACACATCCATCAACCGGGTATATATATATGTGGTAATTGAAATGTGAACTTATAAGAAAGTTTGTATTTGACATGTTTTTTGTTAAGTAAGATTCATAACCTAGACATTTCAGTGTAACTTCTCTTTGAATAGTGTCAGTTGCCTTTGTCTCTGTTCTAACTTAGAAAACTGCAAAATAATCTGGGACTGTTACATTGATTTGTTTCCTGTGTTTGCACTTTATTAATAAAAACGTGTATTAGTTGCCATGCAACTTACTTGATTTGAAAAAAATTCAAAGTATTCGGTGTAAGTTGCATGTGACTTTTTTCTTTCAAATTTTTATATGTATATATAATAGTGTCACTGGACATTATTTGTACTAACTTGTAGTTTTCCAAGGTTTATAATTTTAGAAGAACTGGGTCACTTTTTCTTGTTTGTTAAGTACTAATTGTTTTTATTCTATGTGTTTCAGATATCTTCAAGTGTTGTTTTTTATATACAGTGATTTAGCTAAAAGTATTTTAGTGGATAATCAAGTAGCACAGATGGTGTTACATAAATTATCAGAATTGTTTTTTTCTGCTATATTTGTGTATTGACTTGATGTTGATTGTTTTGTAATAAGTTGACATTCAGATTCACTTTTTTCATTTTCTTTTTTACATTAAACAATCATTCTATTTTTACAGTTGAAAAACAAAACTTTCCATCACTTACTCTTTGAGGCTGGATTTTGTTTGTGCACTTCTATTTTTAAAAAGCTGCTATTTAAACTAATGTGAGATGTAGATTGATTAACAATACAAATTAGAAGCTATTCTGTTGTGGATGTAGTTTGTGTAACTAACGTTCTCTTCATTTTTATATGAAGTTTAACACTGAACTGTCTCTTCTGTATTATAAGTTGTGAACATGTTCATTAGTTCCTCTTATAAATTTGAAAGGAAATTTAAAACTTTGTATATAAGATAACTGAAAATGTGTTGATATCATTTTTGTAATGTATTTATCAGGTAAATGTACTGAATAAGAATATTTTTTTTTGTGTGGGTGAAGAAGTCACTAAGTTTAGATATTGAAACTACAGGCTAATTGATTGATTTTATTTATTATTTTTAAGAAATTGAATTCATGTGTACTTGTGGAGTAAAGAAAAAAATGATAATTTGCTTAAGTCTAATGGAGGAAAATATAATCCAGTTTTTGGTTTTGCAGAAAGTATATTTGTAAAATACCGTGCTAAAGCAGTATAAGAGATAATTATTAATAGACAAAAATTTGAAACAAAATATTATGTATGGTGTAGTAGAATAGCGTAGCTTTGCTCTATACTTTTGACAGTGCTATCAATGTTTGGTAACTCTGAAAGCTTGACGGTGCCTTTTGTTTTTGTGTGTGTGAACACCATTAGTTAAAAGAAAAAATGATATGAAGTCTTTTTTTTATTATTTTCTTTGTGCCATAGATGGTTTCTTTAGTCCCAAGCTTATTATCTTTTATATTGCAAAATTGATTTGAATAAAATAAAGAATTCCATAAACAGAAGCAGATATTCAGTTATTCTGTACCTCAGGAAAGTAATTTTGATCTTATTCTAAGATGCTGCTAATGTCTGTTTTTTATGTATGGAAAGTTTCAAAGTATGTACTAATTTTAAGTACTTTTAAAATCATTGTGATAAAATTGGTATGATTAAAAATATTTGAAACATTTAGATAAGATGAAAAATTTAATAACTATAAATATAATAACTAGTAAGTTTGAAATGATTGTGCCTTTGAATATTATGTATGTTGCACTATAAATAGAGGTGATTAGATGTTAAACATTTAGGAAAAGGTTGTTTTTTTTTTTTACATTGGTAAGGCCTTGTTCACCCATATATTTCAATTAAACTGTACAAAAAAGTATTTTGTGTTTCATATAACTTAGATAAGATTCTGTATAATATTTATAGGTAAACACACTTAGATAGTCTGAGAAAGTAAAATGAGAAAATTGTTTCCCAATGGTGCTGAAAAAAAATGGCTTAAAATGACAGTTTTGTTCTGTTAGTTTTATAAAAATACTTTCATAACCAGGGGTCCTTTTTTTTTAAAACATTCAATAAATAGATGATAGACAGTTTTTTTTATTTCCATTTTATATTTATAACTAACACCTAGCAGCATGACATGAAGAACTGTTTATCAATAAATAGAGGATAGACAGTTATTATGTTTATAACTAACACCTAGCAGCATGACTGTCTATCCTCTATTTATTGATAAACAGTTCTTCATGTTATTATGTTTATAACTAACACCTAGCAGCATGCCATGAAGAACTGTTTATCATCTATTTATTTAACTGTGAAATTTGAGAAATCTTAGAGCCTTTAGGCTCATAATGGAACTGTGAATATTTTATATATCTTCATAGCTGGTATCAGATGGGATATAATCTAATTTACAAACTACTAATTCAGAGTTTTTAGATTTAGGGGCAAAAAGGGTATGAATTGAAAAAATACGTGAAAATATGTTTACTACTGGTTGAAAATTAACATTAAGAAGTGTCTACAGCATGTACCAATAAAATTAACACAAATTTTTTCAGTACAGCATTTCTGTTGTTAAATTCCTTGTCTTGAAACATTGCAGTAAGTGGTGTATTGAGTATTTTTGAATATATTTCAGGCATCACAATTTGATACATAAAATGTAAAGTGTTATTTTGTCTTGTATTATGATTGTGGTGGTTCCAGTAAGGCATTTGTGCTTTGTTCTGCTACCACTAACTATCTTATTAAGTGTTCATTGATAGCTTTTATTTTCATGCCTAAGTAAGAAAAATAAATTGGAACTCATGACGTACTCCTAAAGGAGTTTTAGTGCGAGGAAATTATATTCTCCTGGAAAAAATGAGAAACTAAGGGGGTTTGCAGGACGATTGTAGTGATGTATATTAAACTTGTGTTGATGTAAGGAGAAACCATTGTTCTTGCAGAAAAAAGCTTTGGTTTTCTTGTTGATGGTGGTGGTAGTGTACGCCATGTACTCAAAAGTATAGGGCGTCACATAAAAGGTCTTCCACTTGTCTAACAGAAGATTGAGGGGTTGATGAAGACATGTAATAAAGAGATTGCATACTGATAGAGCATGTCTGTGTATGTTTTAATTTGAACATATGAAAAAACAATCGTACATATGCCTTAAGAGATGGAAGGGTATGTTGCCTGCAGATATAAAAAATTTTTAAATATGTTATAGATAATGTTTAACAAATACAAATATAAGATTTCAAAGAAATAAGTTATTTTTTTATGTTCAATATGTCTTTTAAGATATAATTTTCCTTCACAATTCAGTAAGCTAGCAGAATGTGTTTTTGAATTGGTGAGAAATATTTTTGCTGTATGGAAAAAATGTACTTGTCAAAAACAGAACCTAAATATTAAAAATTCCTAAAATAATTTTTGACATTTTCTTTGACATGACTATGAAAGCAAAGTACCTGTATTTGTTGTGCAACCATGTTTGAGTGTCAAACATATTTGTTCAGAAGATGGTGTTTAAAACAAACAAGTTATATATATACTAAGTTTCTAATATGAACATATATATATAAACACAAACAAATGTTATGATTTAAATTTAATACCACTATTTGTTTAAATACCGAACTCAATTTCTATACAGTATGTTTCACATTACAGAAGTCTTTCCCAAGAGAAGGTGCATATAATACCCTGGTTGAATGACCTTGTACAATGAGTGACTACCACAAGAACTTCATGGTTCCCTTAACCAATGTTCTATATTAAGACTACATACTCAATATGTGTGTGATATATATTTTAGGCAGCAAATTCATGTTGAGTTGACTGTGAACTGGGTGGTATCTGGATTTTAGAGAAACACTTGTAGGAATATATTGGTGACATACAATCTGTTTATGCAGTTGAAGTGTAGAGGACGACATTTCGAAAGTCTTATGCCTTTTATCCTCAGGTCAGTTTATGTAAGCCACTGCAAGTGTTATATAGTATCCACGTGGATTGAGATGGATGTTCTTTGATTGTTTGTTCCTGGTCCTGATTGGTGGAGCGACTGAGTGTGGATTTAGCCAATGGTAGCCATAAGTTAAAGATTTCTAGGCCTGAGTCAGTCTAATGAAGGTTTTATTGTGTTGAAAGATTCCATTATTGTTTTCCAAATTTGTCTGATTTGATGATTATAGCTTTGTCTCAGTTTATTTTCTGACCAGTTGACATAGTATGTTGTGCAATGGCTGAATTCTATGTTTTCATTAGTCTTTATGTTATTTTATTTTTCTCCCAAGTTGTTTTCCCGTTTATCCAGTGTAGGTTTCATCATGGGAACATAAAATTTCATAATTACATTTTTGTGTTTCTCCTTAGTGGGTTTCTGTTTAGTGTTGAACAGGATAGATTTTATTGTTTTGTAAGATTTCCACTGGACGTCCGTGTTGAGCATCTTGGCTATGTGTTGATTAAGTTTTGTTTCTTGAGTTTACTTAGTGTATTGATGAATCTCTGTTATCTTTTCTGTAGCATTACTGGTGATTTTTTGTATTTGTGTCCGTCTAGTAACTATTTGATCTTTGTGTCATAATTGTTAACATCTGGGATGTCTGTACTGTTTCCTTTGTCTGCTAGTAGAATCGGAATTGTGCTGTCCAGTTTTAGACGATTCAGTGCACTACATAATAAGTGTTTGAGTATGTGTATTTTGCTATAGCAAAGCCACATTGGGCTATCTGTTGTGTCCATTGAGGGGAACTGAGCCCATGATTTTAACATTGTAAATCTGAAGACTTGTTGCTGTCCCATCGGAACAAGTGGTCGAAAACGCTGTTAAGTTAATTTTTTCCTAAGGTACCAGTGTTGTTGTTCTATAAGCGGATAATATTTGTTTTACTTATTTGTTTTAAAGAAAGTCACATTGGAGTATCTTTGGTGTCCACTGTGCAAAACCAAACCCTAGGTTTGGGCATTGTAAGTCATAAGACTTACCACTGTCCCACTGTGGAATAATACCCGTTTCATCTAGGGAGGATGTTACCCAATACTGCAAGTTGTGTAAGAATGTCTACAATAGTGCCCTTCATACTTGTTCAGACAATATCCAGAGATTATAGTCCCACCTGTGTTGTAATGAAAATGAACTGTTACATGGATAGTGCTGATTACCTTGGCTAAATGTAAATTTCTTGCATGTTAAAGAATGGTACAATTCATGAGGATATTCTAGAATATCAGTGGAGTTGTTTTAGTCAGGACGAGAGAAAGAGTTAACCACTGAAGGTATCTAGTCAGAATAATAGCCTGCCGTGTCTGTTCAAGGAAGTAAACACACCATGTTTGTGTCTAGTATGTTAGTAAAGTTCATGTATTTTGTATTACACTGTATGTT